AGGACTTCAACGGTTGAAGTCCTGATTTTTTTCAGGCTTCTTCTTTCCAATTGCTTAAATTGGAAAATTAACTGCGATGATCATTCCTCACTTACATCTACAACCACAGTTCATATATGAATTATTTCATATAAACTTCACATCTTTGTTTTTTCTAACAGCTAACTTGGACTTAAGTGACTGTAAGGCATCTTTTTGGTTAACTTTTGGATGCAAGCTTTAGGCTAACTTTGGACAAAGTCATTTTCATGTATTGACATAAAGTAATATCTTATAATTGTTAGGATATGGAAATTTGTTCATGTTTTATTGGTTTTTATCTAAAGTATAGAAAGGAAAGACTGTGACACCTGCTTGTGGACATTTAAAAGGACAGTTATTCGGAGAACTGTTTGTGAACATTTTAGAAAACAGTGGAAACAGTTTAAAAGGACCAATATTACTCACATTGTGATGTCATAGAAATGCAACCAGAGAATTGGTTGTTTTATTGTTAAAGTATTAACTGAAGTTATTTTATTTATTGCAATGTTTAAATGGGGTACATGAAAAGGAACAATGTTGTGTTTGTGCTCCAACTCAAAGGTATTTAGGCCACCTTTAAATGGTGATATCCATGCTGTTATCATGTGTTATGCTTCAAAGGGGCGCATGTTACTTTCATTCATTTGAATAAACTTCATGTTTTTACATAACTAAGATAACGTCCGTCCTATTACATTTTATGAAACTGCTTTCTTGCAATTATTTTAAAGGTACAGTGATTTCACAAGTTTGTCTTGAAGCTGCTGTATTTTTCTCATAGAACTACCAGTATCAATTGCACAGACAATTTTATCAGGCCAAGTTTCAAACACTTTTTATGGTGATAAAATGCACAAAGAAGGATCAACATCAGGGCAATGCATTTTCACACTCATTCACAAAAGAAAAAATCCAAGAATCATGGATATCTGTTTTCTTAAAGTGTGGACTGCATGGCTGGTGCCATCTCAAATTTGAAACACAGGAGGATCCAGAAAGACTAAAACACAGTTGAATGAACAAAAACAAAGCTGGCAGATGAATTTTAAGGGAAGGTAGCAGCCTTATTTCAGCAATGAAAACTGAAACCTGTTTGACACAACCAAAGTGGCACACTCATGGCAATTTTAATCCAGCTTTCCCCCATCATGATCATAGTACATGTGGACTATGTACAATCTTGTTAAATAACATGTTTTTTATGAGGTACATGTATCTCTTTTCATGATTCTCCAGAGAAGGCATGCGAAGTTGACTTATCCTTTGAAGGGGTGTGTGGGAAAAAGCCCTAAGTGGCATTTGATCTCCAGTCCAATCCTCCTTTTGTTGTAGTAAGTAGAAAGCAATTTGTTAGGAGAGTCTTGCTGTCTGTCAGATGTCACTTTAGGTATTTTTTCCATGCAACCCTTCATTATCTTGTTCATGCCACATGCCAAGAAGAGAACAATGCCTGTCTTGGGAAGCACATTGAAAGCAATGTGCATCGAAAACAATGTGCCTCCTTTTATACTGAGGTTAGGTTGGGTTCTCAGTTGTGCTACAGGTTTTTGACGCCCATGATTGCTTCGGGTTTGCATGCATGTATGAATTATTGCACTTATTTTGTATAAATGGACTGGCAGCAATTTAGTTGCAGTAAATGGGGTGTCTACAAAATGAAGACCTAAGACCTAAGACCAAAAAACGAAGACTTGTTTTTCTACAGGCCTGTCAAACCAGAGATAGTCAAACCGTGTCAACGCTTTTCTTCAGACACCAACTGATGCAAAATCAATGGGTCTTCATTTTGTAGATAAGGCCAGCTCGAACTACAAAACAAAGACCCTCACTTAAATGCTTTGTTCATTGTCAGCTGATGCGAAATCAGTGGGGTCTTCATTTTGTAGATAAGGCCAGCTTGAACTATAAAACGAAGCCCCTCACTAAAATGCTTTGTTCGTTGTCAGCTGATGCGAAATCAATGGGGTCTTCGTTTTGTAGATAAGCCTGGCTCGAACTACAAAACGAAGACCCTCGCTTAAATGCTTTGTTTGTTGTCAGCTGATGCAAAATCAATGGGGTCTTCATTCTGTAGATAAGGCCAGCTCAAACTACAAAACAAAGACCCTCGTTTCAACGCTTTGTTAGATGTCGACTGACCCAAAATGGGTTCTTGTATAATGTCAACAGTTTTTTATTGGCTAATCCCCTGTTCTTGGATCAGTATTTACACTTATGCAAATTTGGCAGCAAAGTGAGATAGCACTATATGAAAAAAAATCGTGCTAAGACCTTTATTCTGTGATGCAAAATGTAATAACATTATAGTTTCAAACATATAAAAAATTTAGTGCAAAGAAGTCTTCGCCCTGTCCAGTTCTCTATCATAAACAACTATTTTTTATACATATAAAAAATTTAGTGCAAAGAAGTCTTCGCTCTGTCCAGTTCTCTGTGATTTAAATATAGTTTTAATACATATAAAAAATTTGTTGCAAAGAAGTCCTTGCCCTGTCCTGCTTTCTGTAATTGGGTTGTACTCCCCTTAGATATTTTTCAGAAACACGCACATGGGGGCCTTATTTCAACTCTATAACTGCTGTTAAATCTGTTTGGTGCATGTATCTTTATGACTTTGTTGTATCTATCAACAACATCTGCCAACATCATAGGAAAGAATTTTCCCAGTTGTGAGTGTGCTTGCACCAAATTTCAGTTTTTGTACGCGGTATGGTCCTGCATCGAATACATTTAGACTGTTGTATGTCATCTTGCAATAGAATAAATAAGCAGTTTTACTCCTTGTTTGATACTTGTTTACCTAAAAAATAGTAATTGTTATCTATCCTCATGCCAGTGTGATAGATTGATATTTCATCAGTTGCCATCCTTACTCAGTTATTTCATCAGAAATACCCATTTAGAGACTTTATTATGTAATCCTTGATTTTGAGAGATATTTCCCAATTGCCTTAATACGACCCACATCCCAGTGCAATGACTCATATTACTTTTTTGATCTGAATTGATGTTCTCTTGGCCCCCAAACAAGGGTGCTAAAATTACAGCTGACAAACAGCTTAATTGAAGTCCACCTTAGTTTACCCTGCAGCTGTCTCCTCAGGATCACTGAAATGATTGATAACCTCATTGCCAATGAAAGAACATGCTAGATTTGTTTTCTCAAAAGGTATTGCTTCAAAACAGCACGACTGTCCCTTTGGAAACTTTTCAGCGGAGAAATGAAACGTTTTCCTCTCTTGCGTCACAAGTCTCTTAATAGAACTAAAAATATCTACATCAGCCTTCAAATTTCTTGCTAAACATTCTCACATTAACTGGTAATGTTTATGCGCAAAAGCCTATTTGTTAAAGTATATTTTTTAAGTACATTATTCTAAGCTAGAACAAATATCAGCAAACACTTGCAATTGCGTGCTCGTTTATCGTAGACAAACTCCGTGCGACTGATTTGAGTATTTCCCCTTATGAATAAAGTAGACAGTATTTGTTGGGGTGAACAGCTTCAGGGTATTTTCACTTCCAAAACAATGAAATGGAGGACATNAAAAAGTAGATCTTTGCAAGGGCTATTGGGATCCACAAAGAAAACTGGGGTAGCCCCGCATTTTTTTTGAGATAATTAGCCTTGAATCTCAGCAAAAATGCTGACATTCATTTTTCTAAAAAAAAGAAGGAAAGAATATTTCTTCACAGATTTCCTTAGAATTTGCCTTTACATACAGAAAAGCAAACACGTTTATAAAAATCTTAAAACTTCATGGTAAATAGTAACATAAAAACCATTTTTGGTATGTTTTTAATAACAAAATTGTTGCAACAGGGCTTTTGGCGTCTCTGACAGTCTTTCGCATGGCGCTTAAACCATGCCTTGTGTGATGTGCAGAACTTGTGCACACTAACAAAAGAAGACCCTGTCATATAAGGGAAGGGGCCCCAATCTCTTTCCCAGAGTCTTTGTTACCCTTGACCAGCGGTCGGAAAACGAGAGCTCTGGGAGCAACCATTTCAGGCATGCGCCATAGATGCAGACTGCGGTTATTTCAAAATGGTTGCTCCCAGAGCTCTCATTTTCCGACCACTGGTCAAGGGGAACAAAGACTGGGAATGAGATTGAAGGGGCCCTGGAAGCATCCCCCTTCTTTCTGTTTAGATTTTCCTTGAGACACTAATATCAATCAAATTTTTGTAATCAAACATTCAGCGAAGTGATCAGGTCACACCTGAGGAAGAAATTTAGGTTGGCAGCTGGGCTACTGTTCAAATCACTCACGATCTCTCACGCTTTCGCATGACTATACTGTCTCCGGTCGCCCCAGATCTCGCAAAAAAACCTCGCGCATATTTTATTTCAAAATGGCGACCGTTAACAAGTTTTAAAGTGAACTAGACATAGTCAAAACTAGTGAGCGTTTTTACTCAAACACAAAATTCAGGGGTGAACTCAAACTAGAAAATTTATAGTGAGTTTTAATTGAACTTCGTGAGAACTCCGTGAGAACTCGCTATGATGCAAAACTCCCAGGGTATCCAATCGATGGAAACCAATGATCGGAAATTCAGTCGATCAATTGATATCAATCGATAAAATTAGTTAATTGGTATCGGCCAATCGATGACCAATCGATAACCACACAAAAACCGTTCATCGATTGCTATCGATTGGCTCAGCAACCTCGAACAGATGTCACACATGCTCCTGTCATCGATTATCGATTCCATCGATTGGATACCCCGGGGAAACTTGAGCTGCACCGCTCTTCGCTAATCAAGAAATATCAAGCAATTTTTTCGAGTAAATTATTAATAACAGTTTTTTAAACTTATGGAAGTCGCTACTCACTCTTCTGCTCAAAAGAAGTTGCGTTGTTAACGAGCCAGTAGCCCAGTGTGCTATGCGCCCTTTGCGTGTGATTTAGCCATCTGCACTTGTGAACAGGTGGGACACTCAAGAAAATACCATGTTATTGACGTACCTCCCCTGGCTCGGAGTTAACCAGCAATCTGTCGTCAATGCTCGTTGAATTTTCAGTGACTGAAGTGTTACTGAATTTCTGTACTAAACATGTGGAGGGGGAGTGGGGTCTAGCACGTCCCAGCCTCGTCTCCACTCCCTCAACCCGCTTCACCCCTTATCAACGAATACCAATGAGGTTTCGAGAGAATAGACTTCAATTATACCATGATTACACTCTGAACAGTCGGCTACAAAGAAGATTGTCAGTCTGACGCAAATTTCAAAGCTCTTTCCATGTATTACAGTGTTACTTCACAGTTTAGTTATCAAATCAAATGGTCAGAGGCAATGTAGCGTGATGGAATGTGTGTTATAGCAACCACAAGCTGTGTACAGAAAAACAAATGAGCTGCGTGTCAACTGGTCATACAGACACATTTGCAATTCACACTTGCAAGAGAAGTTCGGTCGGATCTAATAAAAGAGTTAATAATCGGTTTACTTGGAATACTTCTCCTGAAAAATGTCCGAGGAAAGCGAGTTGTCTGAGTTAAAAAGAGACCAAACAACTCAAGATTTTGTGACGGGCTTAAAGGAAAGAGAGGATCTGAAGATTAAACTCCGAGAAAAAGAGAGAGAATGTAACACACTTAAAGGACAGATATATGACATGACCAAGAAAGTAGAGGATTTGGAAAAGCAAGTAAGTATCTGTTCTTGCTAGCTACTGTATCCAGTCTCTTCATTTTAATGCAATGAAGTTTCAAAATTAAGTCACGTCCTAAATATAAAGTAAGCTTAAATGTAAGCTTATAACCTTATTGTAAGCTTACAGTGCTCTACGCAGTGCACATGACTGGCATTTGAGAACATGAGAAATATTTTATTAGAAATCTCAACAGGCCAGCGTCTTTATATTAAATTTTCTCAGAAGTGCTCAAATGCGCAGGATGATCCAGGATGCCTCGACATGACAGTGGGCCTTATAAATACATTAGTAACTTTATTATTATTGATTATTATTATTATTATTATTATTATTATTATTATTTTTATTATATATTATTATTAATTTATTATATTTTATTATATTTATTTGTTCTGATTGATTCCCTTACTAGTCCAAATTTTGCTATATGGACTGCTAAGATTAAATATTGTCAGCTCATAAATTACTTTTGGCAAATTGCTTAATTTTCAATTCATTGCATAGCCTCTTCCAGGCATTCAGTTAGTTGGGGCGGAACGCAAAATAAGACATGCGAAAAAATAAAAAAAGCACAGCAAGAGGAAGAGTTGAGAGACATCAAAAGCTCAAACAAACAGAAAAGACGCACTAACGTGACATCGAAGATTGAAGGATCAAATTTCCCGGGAATTCGGTGAGGCTCTGATTGACAACTGTAAACCACAAGCTTGCGGTCATGTTACATGCCGCTGTAGGCGGGCTATAAGGGGGGCAGAATGACCTTTTATTAAGTTTGCACATAGAAGTTCTTGCGCTTCCTCTCGCTGCACCTTTTTTATTTTTTCGCGTGCTGTATTTCTCATTTTGCCCCAACTAACTGCACAAAATAAACAATTTTGTGTACGGTAGGAATATTTTTACCTTCATGTTTAAAAGACAACTTCTGTCAACCCACTGGCGCCTGTGCTGGCCATAACTGGTCGTGACAAGCGTTGGCCTCTGTTCCCCTTAATTATGACGTCGTCACCTTTGCCCAAAACTGGCATCACTTATACTCAAGTTCTGCAGGAGGAAACGATCTTTCCAGTGATACCCAGATCAGAGTGATTAGGTCAATTGAGGTTGCAACATGCATGGAAATGCTTAGAAATTTGAATGAAAACTCAGAGGAAATTTGTGCCCATGCCCAAGCAAAAATCAGGGCTTGCCACTAACTTTTCAACTTAGTAGCCTAGTGGCTAGTGACAACTTAAATGTTACTAGCCAAAAAATTTTTTTACTAGCCAAGGGTTAATGTTTGCTAGGTCCAATAACAGCAGAAGGCATGCAAAGCGAGCAAAACAAAGAATAGAAATGGCCTCCACTTCCTACCCTGTCAAGTCTCCTGTTTTACGCTGGCTTCCAGTTCTCTCGCAATTCTACCCGCACATTCAACGATCAAATGAAAATACAAGAAAATAGAGGGCTGTGAACAGTCAACCTGTGATGAACACTGATGAGGAATCAGACCTTGTCTCATGGTTGACTGGTAACATTAAACACAGCCAACAAGTTTATCATCTCAATGAATTGTGCCAGTTTTGACGTTGTCCAATGGCCTCGTGTTTTCCTCACATCAAATCTCTCAGGCCGACAGATCACAAAGAAAAATCCAGTGATTTTCCCGAAAAGACTTTCAGGACTCTTTTCCTTTAAGACTTCCTTGGAAAAATATCAAGATCCAGAGATGTTATTGTAAAAACTGTTGAGATGTCTTCACAGACACACGCTGTAGAAATGTTTCAAAAGCAAAATACACTACTGCTAATTGTCATTGGCAAAATTTGATTGCTAAAANCATTGATTTCGCGTCAGTTGGTGTCTGAAGAAAAGCGTTGACCCGGTTTGACTGTCTCTGGTTTGATAGGCCTGTAAAAAAACAAGTCTTCGTTTTTGGATCCTAGGTCTTAGGTCTTCATTTTGTAGGCACCCGCAGTAAATGTATATGATGTAGGGATACTCTTATCTAGTGTGGTACAAGCTTTGTAATGTGCTTTGGTTTTGCAGTCTCTTATCATGACCTTGGGCTCTTGCAGGAATAGTTACCTTCAAATGTCAAACTTTACATGTGCTAAACTTAATAATAAGGTTCAGCACATGTAAAGTTTGACGTATGAAGTGGGCCTAAGAATTCTTCCAAAATAAGTTCTTGTATTTTGGGATAGTTTTTGGCAGTTAAAGCTAAGTAGCTTCTTAACTAGTTTTCTTAGTTCTGTGAAGGAGGTGTGACTGTTGATTACCAGAAAAACAAATAAGCTTGGGTTTACTCCTTAAATATCCGGAATGTTAGTCGAAATAGACACAGGCATGCATCTTATGCATTTTTTACACTGGAAAATATGTTAAATAAATGATTGTTTTGATACTACTGTGAGAACAGCTACTTAACTTAGGTCACGGAAAACTTGGAAAGGTCATGGAAAGGTCATGGAAAGTCATGGAATTTTTCAAAAACCTTCAAAGAGTACAAACCCTGAATTACAATTTAGCTACTTCATAATTATAAGTCTAGGATCTATCCCCAAAAGAGCATTTCTTTGCTCTTTACTGTTATATTCCCTGCACAAATTCAAATTGACAGATACTATTTCACACTGGGTTACAGTTTCTATTTCTTGATTTATATGAAAATTGATATATGTAAAATCACCATGAGCAACTTAATTTATATGGGCAGTTTTTCACTGTCTTTCATCAAAGGTACAGTGACAGGAGTGTCTGCCACCATTTCCCTACAAACCATTCAACAGATCAATACTCTCTCTAACCAAGTCCAGGGCTTTGGTGTAAAGATCAATACCCAGCTGTGTAGACTGCATCAGGGGGTCAACTGTATCCAACACATAGAACACCATGAAATCTCTATTATCCAAAGTTATTGGTTCAACAACAACATTGTTATTTTCCTCTGGTGGAGAGGAACCTTCTGGATCATAACAATACGGTTCGAGATCATCTGGCTCACCATCAAGGGCTCCATGCACAAGTCGATTATTCCTGTAAATCATTCCATTCATCCACATTTGATATGGGGTCCAATTACCCTCTGTGCTCACTGCATGATTGTTGAAAGCTTCAGAAAAATCTTCCAAGGCTTTGTTTATCCTGGGGATAAAAATTGTGTACAATGTGAAAAGGTGAATTGGATCCTCAACATTAAGAAGCCCAGATGCCTCCATTGCATAGAATGTATAGTAGTTAATGTGGCAAACACATCAGTAGACTGCCCTCCAAAGATGCTCGATCTGTTGATTGTGGGTAGATGGGCCTGTTATGAAGCTGCCTTGCACCTCTCCTCGAAACTGCACCATTGCATCACAGACAAGAACATTCTTAACTCCCCTGTCCACTCTAATTCTTGTTGGCCAAGGGTCACCAGTTTTTCTTAGTATCCAAAAATAAGTTAAGAACTGTTCCTGCCAGATGATTAGAATGACACAGCAAATGCATAATTTGACTTGAAAACCCATCTTTGCAACCATGAATGACTAGTTTCCATCTAGATGCTACAATGAATTTGGCCATGGTACCTGGTATACTCTTTGGGGAAACAAGAACCCCCCATCTCAAGGCACTGTTTTGGGGGTCCAACCGAGCTATACATCCTCTTACTCTTCTTCTGTGTACTCTCAAGCCCAGCGATCTTAAATATCCAGAAATGTATACTTGACCACTTGTTGCTCCATGCTGTAGGATATAGTCTCCTACTTTTTGGTCTAATTCATCATCAGTTAGCTTACTAAATGTCAAAAATCATCCAAGCCATAAGCTTTAATCCTTCTTGATATGGTCCAACGAGATACTCCTAACATTTCAGCAATTTTAGTGCGAGTAAATCCTAACCCTAGAGGATCTTTTAGCAATTCTGCAGAGATGTTGAATACTGGTCTACTGGGCTCAATACTTGTAAGTTTGGGACAAATATTCTGTGCTACTGTAGTAGGAGACAATGATACATTGGCTAAACATTGCTGCATAGCACAAAAGACATCGTTAAAAGGTGATGAAAGACCACCTAAAATTTCGTTGTCAGCTGTGTCAATAATCGATCTGGAGTCTCTGAGTGAGGGAAGCAAACTGACCGTCTGATCAACAACAACGATATGCTGCTCCACAATTCTCCTTTCCACATTTCATTGACAAATATACTCAGCTTTTTCAAGAACAGAGTTAAAAAAAACTTGGTAGATTAGTATCCACATCAAAGTCATCGACATCAGCCGCCATCTCCTCCATGACATTTCTCGAAAGAAGAGTACATCCTGGAAACGAGGTTATCTTTAGTCACTGACCAGAAATAATGAGGGCTCAAGAAAGTTGAATATAAAAAAAGTTGAACATTGAATGAATAATTGAATGTTGAATAAAAAGTTGAACATTGAATGAAAAATTGAATGTTGAATACAAAGTTGAACTTTGAATAAAAAATTGAATGTTGAATAAAAAGGTTAACATTGAATAAATAATCGAATGTTGACAAAAAAGTTGAACATTGAATAAATAATTGAATGTTGAACAAGAAGTTGAACATGGAATATAGAACTGAATATAAATTATATAAATTGAATATTGCTACATTTGGTCTGCCAAAGTTTTCTTTTTCATGATATCAAAAATTAGACTTGTCGACCCTATGATTACTTGCACTATAATTTTCTGGTAATTTTTTGTTGAACCCTTCTTCAAATCGTGAAAACAACTCAAAATTGTAGATGTTTTTGAACCATTGACCACTCATACTTCAGATATTGTGAATAAGTTTATCCCAATGTTTTGTTAACATTGATTCACAGGACCTCTTTCAAATTTAACAACTAAGAAAGGGGTGTATGAACTGATGAGAGAGTTGCATTCCAATTTCACGGTATGCTAGATTTTTCTAATTATTGTCTACTGCATTCCTCCACGATTCAAAACAATAGCATCCTCAGACAGCAAAGTATAATTGATGCCCTTGGAATGCAGTAAACACTGATTTGAATATTTTAGCATAATATTGTACATCATGTAAATCAAGATTGGTAATGCAACTTTTTTATTGGTTCAAGGGCCTCCTTCATTGCTAAATTTAATAGTGTTCCAGAGTACCAATTTATTGATAAAACTTTGAGGTACAAAATGTTTGTAATTTATCATGCATTTAACTAATGTTTCAGAAAAATCTATCAAGCTGTTTTTTAGGTTTTTAAAAAAGCTCTTAAAATTTTTTTACTGATGTTTCACCGATTTTCAATTATTTTTTTGTTGTTTCCATGGAAATAGCGATTGAAAAACATACCCAACTGTAATCCATTTCCAATTACTGCCTGACAGGTGTAATTTTCATATCTATCCAATTATTAAGGTAAGGCTGTTTGAAAGGCTGATTAAAAATGCTGGTATGGTTTAGAAAAACTCTGTCAAGACACCTTAAAATTAGGGAAATGAACATTGATAATTCCTAGTGACGAGTTAAAATTTAGTGTCCACAGTGACATTTAATTGCTGTGTTTTAAACATCCAGGTTCGAAGTGAATTGAGAAGCTATGTTCATTGTCAGCCAATTTGATTGCAACACTTGTTGTTTGTGCTTGTTTTAACATAACACAGGAAACGAAAAAGCGGCGTCCTTCAAGTGCACGTAAGTTCAAGAGGCCAGCTCAGAAGAAAAAAGAGAAAGGAACTAAAGATGCAGGCTTGTTAACACCAGATGCAAACAACGGCAAAGATAATGCTGACAATGCTGAGGATCCAGAAAAATTGTACCAGGTCAGGATAATTATGCTCCAATCTTAAGCCCAAGAAGCATTATTAAATTTCTTAAAAATACAAAAAAAAAATAAAAAAATTCTCAACATTATTATGTTCTTTTCATGTTTCACAGGAAATTGCCAAAAGATATCCTGATGTTCCCTTAAGTACAGTCCTTATTGCGGAGAAAAAGTTTGTGGAGGCTGATCTTGATAGAAATGGGGTAAGAAGACAAGTTTGTATCTACCTTGTGTTAGTTATTTACATGTAACAATTTGTGCCCCAAGAGAATTTGCTGCTTACATTTTAAGAACCAAACTGCCAATTACAATTTACTCAATTCTGACTATGTTTTACCCCATTTGAATACTGTAGTGTTACTTTTGGCAAAAACTCAGTTAGAAATCTGGATCCAAAATTATGGAACAGACTCCCTAGCAAATTAAGGTTGGCTACCAGGTTGGAAACTCTACTGGATGAGGGATGCCATAGTTGCAATCTATGCAATAGTTAATTAATTAATTAGGTTTTTTTAAATGCTTTTTATTTATTTTTATTTTTTTTCACTGTTAAGTATTTTCATGAAACTTGTAAATAGACTAATTTTTAAATTGTTCTCAAGTTTGGTAACTTCTAAATGGACTAATTTTTAAATTATTATTATTATTATTATTATCATTATTATTATTATTATTATGTCAACAGCCAATGTTTTGGCATAATCTTGACACCATTCTCAAGGCAAAGTGAATAATTATTAATGAGAAGATTTGATTTTGATAATTTTTACAGTCTACAAATTAGCATAATAACAAAGGCTCGCAAGTTCTTCAAGTGAACACCTTTGCACGAATCAAGTCCATTTCCTCGTTAAGTTTTCGTGTAAAGAGTATCTCCTTAATAAGGGCAATCAAATTTGTTAAGCATTTAGGATGTGTGTGAAATTGTTCTGAAAGACACATTAGGTACTTTCAAATTATGTTTGCTCAAGTAATGTTTACAATTCAACAAAGATTTTTGTTTTTGTCCATCAACACATACATGGAGGTGGCTGTGAGTGTGACCAACATATCCTGCATCACACAGGTTACATTTAAATTTATAAACTAGGCATTGTTGATTAACAGTGGCTGGCTTAACTTTTCAAACTTGAAGGTCTTTGTTGAGTTTCCCGCTGATGAACAAGGGCTAAATTTTGAGCTGAGGTCTGTGAGATGTGTCTTTACCACATTAACAGAGGCCTGTTCTTGAAATGGTATGATAACTTGGATGGTGGGTGTTGTTGTCTCGGTTGATGGGGTGTGCTGCTGGTCTGAGATTTTGACAGCCAAATTGAATAAGTGTCTCCTTTTAAATGCATCTCGCCTCCAGGATTTTGTGCAGCCATTTTTTGCTCGCAGTTTCTTTAGGTTTACAGTCTTGTTCAACGGATTAGCCTAAAGAGGACTACTCGTAGTCTATAAAATGTGTAAAACCATGCAGTGGAGCCTCTCACATGTGACTTATTAATGTTTCCTCTTGAAGTTTAAACACAATGTCCTTCCTTGTCAGCTGTTGTAGACCATGGAAAATTCAGTTACCAGGGTGAAATCTGATAGGAAATCAAGCAATTTCAGTATTTAGTAGACAGAAACCTTATACCAGAATACTTTTAAGTTTATTAAAATCATTTTAATTTACATTTTTTAAAAGCTGAAGCTGTAAAGAATTGCCTGATATAACACCAAAAACAATTTCCCGCAGGAACTCTAGAAACTAAATATCTTCAAAGTTCAGATGCAAAATTGTGTAATCACAGGTAAAAGTTTCATTTCACCAGTACTTTCAAGTGTTTCATATGAACTTCATAATTTGTTTTTAACATTTGGTGTTGCTAGAAATGGTTTCTTATACAAATAATCTTGGTACAAAGTTTTAGCCCACTTTTTACTGGTGGATTCCTTCTTAATTTGCTGGATTAGCATGTACAAAAATTGGACCTTCAGTTTAAGTCCCAGAGCATATCAACTGAGACATTCATTAACATACACTTATGATGTAACCAAATCCTCACAACTATCTTTCATGATGATCGTTCTTAGCATTTAACATCATGGAACAAAAGCCAAGTGGAAGCCTACTCTATGGACACCCTCTTATTATGGACATGCAATTTTGTTTGTGCCATGGAAAACTCATATCTTCTCTTACAGCTACCTTTTATTACAGACAATGGACACTTTTCTGCAGTGACCTAAGTGAACAGATTTCCCAGTTACGTACAAAATAACATTGAAATATCTATAGTTTATACATTAACTGACTGATCATTCCTTTATATTTTACTGCAGGTCATAGATAGTGATGAACTAGAAAAGATGCTGGATCTAGTGGCACAACAGGGGAGCTCCTTGATGTACACAAAATCAGAAGTAAAAGACAAGATATTTAGAAAAATTGACTTGGATAATACAAATTCTATAGACTTCTTTGAATGCATAGGGGTAAGTGGCTTGTGGCTGATATAGCTCATGCTCTGATTGGCTGAGAGCGAGATCTGAGCGGTCAGTATGCAGCCGTAATGCCCACGAGCCGATTACGGATTACACAAATTAGGAAGAGCCCTGCTCTGAAAATTCAAGTGCATTGAAACAATGAAAGCCATTTAAAAACAGTAAGAGAAAGTAAATTTAATTCCAAGTAGCTAAAACTGAAGTTTAGACAACGAGTAGTCCCTCTTCTTCCTGGGGGTGAGGAGAGCGCGCAAGGAGGGATTACTGCCTAAGCCCAAAGAGTTTGAATTATGCATTGCTCTCACAACGCAAAAATATGATTGGCTTATGTTAGGAGCATTGACAACGCGTTGTCAACATTTGAGATATGCGTGTTGTCTTGCAGGAATGTTTTGGAACTGGAGCAAATGGGAGCGTTGGAATCGCGCTTAGCAAGCCATAGCTGTGATGTTCTTGCGAATCTGCCAACAGACGTTTGAAAGATTTGAATTTATCGAGTGTTTTGTTTGGCAAAGCTTTCCGCCTCCAACCCGACTGTGAGCACATTAGTTCACCGCTCAACAACATCGTTAAAGTCAGCGAATATGAATTCACTGAGCTTGGCCTTTCTGCCGTCCATTTGAAAGATTGAACCAGACTTGAAACTTCACTTGAAACCATACATTCACCTGAAACTTTCCGCTGCTATCAGCAAACATTTCACCGCAGTTGGATTATCTCCTATGTCAAATACATAATGTAAATTCTCGGTTGCATCGCTGCAGTTGAAATCTTCGCAGTAACTTTTATATTTACACCTACAGATGCAGCAAAAATTGTTACAACATGCGTCATTTGCCGTCTTCTTTTTAAAACTTCTTTGGCAGTTTCGCTGAACAAACACTGAACAAAGATATACTTCTCACGGAATGGTTTTGTCTCATTACTTGAAGAGTAGTAAAATAGAGCAATTTTATTCAGGATATCTCCCAGGGTTATTGACAACAGGCGATAATAAGAGGACGTCAAGATGAGAAATCCTACACCAAAAACCACAAACACCACGAAGAAACTTATAAGTTATCATCTTAGTCACAACAATTACCGAAATATTGAACTCCGTCACATTTCTCATCAAATAGATTCCCTTGCCTTAACACAAGCAAGTGTAAATCAGCTTCTAAGATCATCAAATGGAAACAATCGGGCAGTTTCTGTTGGCAGCAGTGTTTATGATAAAACTGCAGGAAGTTTTAAAACGTTCTCAAGGCTTGAAAAGTTCATCCGTAAATCTCAAAATGAAGAAGGTGAAGATATGTTGTCAAAAGCGAACACAAAGATTGAGTTATTCTGAGCAGTGCACTCTGAAGCATCAGTATTTTCTTTCACCAAAAGACTGTTTGTTTGGACTATTTTGAAGCACTTTCTGTCTCTTCTATATGCACTGACATTTTGCCACAAAAGTCATAAAAACTCCCCATCAAGTTTGTGACACCACAATACTAAAATACCTTTTCGAGGTTGAGACAATCATTTTTCCTGTAAAGATATGTGTTTTTAACGGAATACATCACTGACTGTGTAGTTTTGCCCTGGGTTTGAGACGATGAATGAATCAGTAATTGGGGAGGGACATCAGGGGATAATTTCTCATTTGAAGAGGATGTAGATGAAGCTAAGGATGAAGGAATATGTATGACTTCTCATTGCAGTGATCAGCAACTTTCATCTTGGTCACAGACTGACTTATTTTAGTCAGCAGCATAACTGAGATTATGCGTTTGTAGTCCCAGTCTGGGCTGTGGTTACCTATTGTTTCACAGCACTGAGCAATTGAAGATTGGATGTCAATAAATTCCAACCTAAAAGGATATAGATAAAATAACTAGTTGTAGTTTAAGTACCACAAATTAAGTGTCACAAAATATTATGAATTGATAAGCCTTGTTTAATTGTGTTGTTTTATCCTCAGATCTTAGAGATGGTAAGGCAAAACAAAAGCACAGATTTACCAACCTCATTACAGCAAAACAAGAGTGCTGTTTGTGCCATTCAATAACACTGGACTAAACATCATTCAGTGAACTGAGAGCAAGTGTCGTGGAACAGAGGCTTCTGATTGCCTTCATAACATCAGGAAATTAAAATGTTCAAGTATCACAGTGTGGCTCCTTGAACTGGGTAACTTGGAACAAAGTTAGCCAACAAGAACTTCGATTGAAAACATAATTTAATGATGGCCTTTTTTGTAAACAAACCAGTGAAATTGAAGAATCAGATGATAGTTATCCAACAATATTTTTTGACAAAGGTGCAGAAAGTCCCAGATTTCTCAGGAAATGTGGAGATTTGGTTAGTTTCAATCCTGAATTTTGAGCACCATGAAAAAGGGTCACAAGAATGATTTTTCACTAAAAGAAGATGCATGATCTCATGCATGATGGCAGGTCAACAGAATGATTAAGTTAAACAATGCTGTTGAACAGACGTTTTTTTTCCACAGATTCAAACTAATAACTCCAAAATCATGTGAAATAAAACAAACAATGTGAATTCTGAAATAACGTTTCTAATAGGAACATTGAAATTTACCAGTGAAAAGATTACCAGCTTTCTTACAAAGTTCACAAATTTGTTGGGTTTCAGATTTTGTACAACTTTGAATTGTTTGTATAATCATCAACATCACTACTGGTTTGCTTACAAAAGAAGATTGCCTTCCTATCATGAAGTGGCCTGGTTCCAGTTGTTCCAACACTGTAAAAAGAGACTGAACCTTATTTCAAATGAAGAGATCCTGATCATTACAAGCAAAACTCCTGACAGGATTGAGCTGCTATTTTTTGTAATAACTTATAACTAGACAACCATGCTTATTAAACAACTGAAAATAATTTGAGGATTTTATGCCCATATTTTTTTTATATTTTTCTCAATTTTAAGGTTTCCTTGTGTTAGCAATCGATTATAATTATGTTTCAATGAGTAGATCACTCTGGTTAAGAGCTGCAATAAAAATATGAATTAAGTAGGTTTGTTTTCTTGGAATGTAAAATATGAACATGTTTAACTTAATTTTTAAAATCCAAAAGGTAATTTTTTTGTGTTGAATGTATATACAGAGCGCTATTTTAATACCATTTTAAGTTAATAAAATTATATCTGTCTATTTGTCACCTTTTGACTAGCATATGTGGACCACCTTGAATGGTACGTGGCGTCTGCTATAGTTCAAGGTATGAACCAACCTCTGTTCAAGGCCTTGTGCTTCTGTCAAAAGCAAAGGGGTGTGGTGGGTTGCCCATTTGATTGTTCAACTCAGACTGTCTTCAGTCACATGTTTTGTTCAATTAATGACTCAGGCAAAAGCAAATGGCAGGTTAGGAAGCAGACTCTACTTTTATCATTGAGAAGGAAGATTGTGACAGTTTTGTTAACCCATTGATGCCTGTGTCACCCATCACTGCCTGAGACAAGCGTTGGCCTTCGTTTCACTCCTGTGACTTTTTCGAGATTTGACACATTTTTGTGGTTGAATCTGCAGAATACCACTTTTAACAACTTTTCTTAGGCTCAAGAAGGTAAAATTGGCAATCTCCCTGATTTCAGTGTTTTAGGTTGGCATCTCTTCGAGAATGACAATGAAAAGAAACTAAAAATTGTACATAGTACTGTCAACCATGCCAACTGAGTCCTAGAAGATTAAGTTGTCACATTAGTTCTAAGCGTTATTGTACTAGTTCAGACAAGTTACTTATTCACCTCTTACTATGTACCTGACATGATCAGGAAACCATTTCCTGTGTTTCTAAAGAGTTGTGAATGGAACATAGCAGTTTATGGTATTGCAGTTTCTTGCTATTTCTTGCTTATGGATGAAACTTCCTGGTCAAATTGATTTTTGAGTTTGCCAATTTTTTCACAGTATTGCAATTAGGAGTATCCCCCAATGTCCCTCTCACACTAGTCCAACTGTCGTCATCCAAAAATATGTTGAATCGCTCACTTTGATGATGAAAGAATGAAACTTTGCTAGATAACTACCATCCCTAAGACCAAATTTTTTGATATGGAGCCAGCCAGACTCGTCAACATAGAAAAGAGGCTGAAAATATAACCCTTAAAAAATGCCATTTTTAAGGTAACTTTGTACATTTACCCATCTTATGTTGAACATAGGCACGCAAGGCGTGCAAGAGTGATATTTTTTGTGAAGTGTCGGAGATAGGAGCATTAATGGAGCTGTTTACAGTAATGATTTGGATAATTTGATAAGTTTTTTTGGTTGCGATGTACAGCAAGAAAGAAACTGGGAATTTATGATGTACATGCGATGTTACATCGGTCATGGTAAGATAGCTAAATAGTGAGCCATAAAATGTTTGACTGAACAAACTACAGTAATCTGACGTCTCCAGATTCATGTAGATACCATCTTGTTGTCAAACAGGCAATTTAATTTGATCTTTGGTACAACCCACACTGGTTGGTGTGACACGCGCACATGCATAACTCCCTCACTCGCCGATCACATAGCCCTTCCAACCCCCAAGAGGGATTTTTGCTCCAAAATACTCGAGTTAATTAAGAGACCTTTAGCATTTTATACGAGTCGTAAGTTTACCCTTTTTACACAACACAACACTACTTCACCGAAAATAGGAAGAAAGAGAAACAAAACCTCTCTGTAACTTTGAAAGTCTGATTTAATTAAATTGCACTTTAACTTGGTACCACGCAATCTTCAAAGAACATTTGAGCAGTTTTCATACTATTTACCTTTAAAAATATCGGACTGAAACTATTAAACTGAACTATTAAACTGCTACTGCAGAGACGTAAAAACCGTCCCGAAATGAAAGCTTTTTTGTTTAATATCCTGGAAACAATAGCCGATAACTTGTCAGCTCTAATTGAATTTACTCCCATATAAAAAACAAAAGTGTTAAGTTACCATTTGTAACTAAAGATAGCAAACATCTCGTGGGAAAGAGTGGGGACGATTCGTCAGCTCTAATTGAATTTACTCCCTTGTGAAAAACAAGTGTCAAATTACCCTTTGTAACTGACAAATAAAAATATCTCGTTATACCTGCATGCAACCAGAACAAAACAATCGTTACCTGTACTTACTATTGTAAACGTTAGGACTGCTTTAAATCTGAATAGTCTCGTCTCCTCTTAAACATGTCCTAAGAACTAGAAGCGACGATTCGTGACCTCTAATTTAATTTACTCCTTGTGAAAAATAAAAGCATCAAGTTACCTTTGTAACTAACAACGAAAATATCCCGTTCCATTTGCATACTGCTAACTCACGAACTGTTTCAAACCTCAAGGCTCATCTCTTTCATAACTAAAATCTTCAGCCTAACCCACAGAAAATGTCGAAGTAAACCCCTATATATGAATACTTCCTCCTCTTTTATAGAAGAATAAATATGGCCGTTCTGAACTGTATCGGGATCAGATCTTTTCGCATACCATTTGCCTTTACAACAAGAAATTTGATTGCCTGTTTATAGTAGATCCAATCTGATTGGTGTGACATACGTACATCTCTCACTCTCTCACTCACCCCCACCCACTCACTCACTCACTCGCTCACTCGCTCGCTCACTCATCCATTGACCCGTCCATAACATACCCGACCCGCCGTCTAAGATAGTCCGGAAGATAAGGGGTAGCATTGTTCAAAATATGATACAAGTGCCAAAATTGGCCTGCCTGCTCCTTTTGGCATGTGAAATGAAATAAAAGCAAGACCTATCTGGGATCTTGCCTTGTTCGACAATAAACAACCTTACAAATTCCCATATAACGTTTGTAAGGAAAACCACAGGGTAACCAAGTTCTGAAAAAAAAGGGAAAACTTTATAAAACTTTGTACGAGCTAAATTATTATTGCAGAGTTGACAGTAAAATGACATCCTTAATTATTTTATTCCATTAGGATAATTTCTTTATAGAATGGGTCATAAAACTTACCGATTTGAAGGTCACTCTATTCTTGGTAACAAATTCCTGCACAAGAACATAGTGCAGTGCAAGGCAGGTTGCTTTAGTACATTTACATAGTCCACGGCAAGCC